GGCCCGGGCTGGATTCGAACCTGCCACCTTAGGTGTATATGGCTGGCAACTTGGCCACTTGAGCCACAGGCAGCGAACCAATTATTTATGTTTTATAGAGATTGGGTCTAGCTATTGCCCATGTGGGTTCTTCTTTTAATTTATAAATGGGTATATGGTGAAAGTTTGTATAGTGGGGCAGAGTGTTAGCTGAAGTTTAGGGACAGATTTTCAAAAGTAAAAGCTGTCTTCTTTAGGGAAGGTTCTATTTATCTCTCTTCCCCAGTGATATATGGGATTGTTGGGTCTTTTTTTGTTGATTAATTTGAGTTCTCTATAGATCCTAATTATCAAGCTTTTTCTGATTTATAATATGCAAATGCCCTTTCCTATTCTGAAAGTTGTTTATGATTTGGTTGTTGTTCCCTCAGCTGTACAGAAGCTTTTCAGTTTAATTAAGTTCCATTTGTTTATTTTTGTTATTATTGCAATCGCCATGGAAGTCTTCATAAATTCTTTCCCCAGGCCAATATCTTCAAGTGTTTTCCCCACACTTTCTTTGAGGATTTTTATTGTTTCATGCCTTAGAACCTTGTCTAAAGAAGACAGATGAATGGCTAACAAACATGAAAAAATGCTCACGGTCCCTAATCATCAGAGAAATGCAAATCAAAGCCACTCTGAGATGTCACCTAACCCCAGTGAGAATGGCCCACATCACAAAGTCTCAAAGCTGTAGACACTGGTGTGGATGTGGACAGAAGGGAACCCTTTTACACTGCTGATGGGACTGCAAACTAATACAATGTTTTTGGAAGGAACTATGGAGAATCCTCAAAGAACTCAAATTAGACCTCCCATTGAGTATGTATTGATCCTGGAATACCATTCCTAGACGTCTACCCAGAAGAAAAAATATCCTTTTATCATAAGGACATTTGCACTAGACAGTTTGTCACAGCTCAATTTACAATTACCAAAATGTAGAGACAGCCTAAATGCTCACCAACCCAGGAATGGATTAACAAGCTGTGATATATGTATAGCATGGAATACTATTTAACCACTAAGAAAGATGGAGACTTTACATCTTTTGTATTAACCTGGATGGAGGTGGAGCACATTCTTCTAGTATCACAAGAATGGAGAAGCAAGAATCTAATGTACTCAATTTTAATATGAAGGCGTAGATAAGCTAATACAAGGGGGGTGGGTGGGTATGGGAATGAGCAAGTGGGGGAAAGGGGAGGAGGGAGGGAGATAGGCGGTCACAGTGCATGGCACACTTCTTGGGGGTGGGACACAAACATAAAATGGACTTTATCTAACAAATACAATCAGTGTAACCTAATTCTTTGTATGCTCAATGAGTTCCCCCCCCCAAAATAAAAGCAGGTCCCTAAATCTACTCAGTCTATCCTAACACTCAGTATACTGGTCAGCATATAACATAAAGCTATTCAGAAGTAACTGTGACTAAAATCTACAAGGGCAATTGGACAGCACTAAAAGCGATTCCTATATTCAGCTGCTGGGTTACATGTGGCATAGTCAGTATTTTAGCTTCTGCATTAAAAAGAGATGTCCACTAATCAAAATACATCTGGCAGATCTGAAGGACCAGGATGTGTGGAATCTGGAAATCAAGTCAACTGAAGAATTTAAGGGTGTATTTATAGCAGAGAAGAGCAAACTAAGGCTGTAGGATGTCTCAGTTTTTCTGTTGCATTAGATTGTAAAATTAGATTTATTAATTGAATGATATAAAACATTTCAAATTTAAGCTCAATTTAAGCATCTCTAGCATCCCATCTCTATGGGTTCAGAGAATAAAATTCTTATCACTATAGGTATTTAGCAGAGGCAATATATAAGATCATATCTCAGTAATTTTGTAGGCAAGATTTCTATACTATGTGGGATATTATATTCAAATCTTAAACCTTGATCCTAGATAACTCTTTTAATCAATTAATTAATTAATTTAGACAGAGTCTCAAGCTGTTGCCTGGGTAGAGTGCTGTGGTGTCATAGCTCACAGCAACCTCCAGCTCTTGGGCTCAAGCTATCCTCTTGCATCAGTTTTTCCTATTTTTTTTTAATAGAGAAGAGGTGTCACTTTTGATTGGGTTTGTCTGGAACTCATGAGCTCAAGCAATCCACCCACCTCGGCCTCCCAGAGTGCTAGGCGTGAGCCGCAGCGCCCAGCCTAGATAACTCTTTTAAGGAAAAATTTCTGTTAAGTTGGAAGCTGAGCATTTACAGTACTCCTTTTTCTGTCTTAGGTTTGGTCAAGGCCTTTGGTCTCAGAATGTGCTGTCATTTTCTTTTTATTGCAAACCACTACCATGAATCTACCACCAGGTGGCGATGCTCTCTTAAGCCTCTCAAATTGTTCTTCCTAAAATGATCTGATGGGTTGTTTAACTGCTTATGTAACTATGTTTTCTATTAAGCCGGCAAAGATATTTGTCAGTACTAATTTATTAATTTGTAAAAATCGGAAAGTTTTATTTTTTTGTACTCAGGGGTCTGGTTTATAGCAACCTGCTTCCTGCTCCCTAGCTCCCAGCTCTAAGGGAGCCAATAAGGGGTGTTTTTCATACTGCATGTGGGGACCACTACCTTTCCCACCTAATGAACCTCTGAACCTACCATTTTATTTTCCTCTTTATACGTGATTGAATTGGATGAAAATGAAGACTTTGGTGCTTCTATCCGAAGAACAAAAATCAAACCCAAACCAAGAATCTTGCCTGTTCTCTCTCAATCGCCTATCTGATTCTTCAGTGGGATTTGAGACATGCAAATCTTTCCTTCTATCACTTCCTCCCCTACCTTTTAAACATTTCTGGCTCCTATTTCACAGAAAATTGAGGTGATGAAGGAGGGAAAAGCCCTTGGCTTCCCTCCCGACATCGACGTGGCATAAACTTACCTGCACACACACCTGGTCTCCTAGTCTCAGAGGACAAGATGCCCCTTCTCCTATTTTAGGCTAATCCCTCCATCTGTTTTCTTGATTTTGGTTTGTGTATGTCCTAAAATATACAGTCAGTTTTGGTGGATGTTCTTTGGGTGTTCTTTGCTTTCTGTATCTGTTAGGATTAGGTGCAGGTACATAGAACAGAGGCCCGACTATAAAAGCACAAATACACAGAAAAAAAAAATATCTAGAGTCGGGCAGTCCAGGGCTGGTAGGTAGTTTTACAAAGTTGTTAGAAACCCAAGATCTTTCATATTCACTATGTCCTTGTCTTCACGGTACAGGATGTTGCTAAAGCTCGAGCCATCACATTCATTTTTACATGACTAAGAAAGGAAAAGAAAGGGTCTGCCTCTTTCTTCAAGGATATTTTTCAGAAGTTCTACACTATACTTCTAGCTCCCTAGTCAGGACTTAAATACATGACTATAAGTAGATTCAGGGAGGTCTAGGAATGCAGTATTTTAGCTGGGCACATAACTGTCCAAACAAATCAGTTTAGTCATTGAGAAGATGTGTGGCAGTTCAACATACATCAGTTGGAGTTAATATTAGCTTTATTATTTATTTTCAGATCCTTTTTGTTCTACTTGATCTTTTATGGACAGAATGAATGGTGGTCAATTATTAACTCTTACTGCTTACTTTTGTTTTGCTTGCTATATGCGTCTCTTTGATGCATCTATACTTGCAATATCTTTTATCGGAAATTACAGCTTAGCATTAAAATGCCCTTCTTTGTGTTGTTCAGTACTTACTGGCCACGGTTCCACCTATTTAGACAACAAATATGATGCCTACTTTCTTTTTATTTGCACATACCTGGCATACATTTAAAAATTATGTGTATTCAGGGTGTACAACATGATGTTTGGATATACATGATCAAA